GTAGCCGTAAACATAAACATGACTTGCAAGCCAAATTGCAGGTTGGATTTTATGGACTCCATCAAGAAAGGTTACACAGTCCAACTTTAAAATGTATACTTAAAGGTGCACTATGTGAGAGAAAAGCTACTCAGAAACTCAGTGTTTATTATTTCTAGTATATTTTTCCTCGCTGCTTTCAGATAAGGAGCTGCCGTCTTGTTTGTGTGCAGATTCCATTACACTTCTTCTCGTTGCGGTCAGCATTTACATTGAGCGAGAACACAAAAGCGATGCCAAGGAACCAATTTCCTTCTTTACCTTCATGAATAAGGATCTCGTACGTCTTCGGCTCGTTCCTAAAGGGAGACAGCGCCTGAGTGGAGGGCCATTATCAAACTGTCTTTTACACTTTGACAACAGACTGGGTCCAAACACAGCACATCCTTTCTGTTGTCTCACTGAAGAGGGGCAAAGTGAAAAGTTTACATTGATTGAACTGCTTTTTTGGAGGATTTTGTGTCCCTGGTGGTGACCTGCTTCGTGTTCCTAAATAGCCTTAGACTTTATATTACTTAAACTCCTGTGGAACATTATACAGACCCTGAACAATGGCCAGTTATAGCTCAAATTTGTGTTTCCTCTCATAGACTTTATATATAAATGGACATAGATAACCTGCCCAGCTTCTGTATTCCAAATAAAGTGAGCATGTGTCTAACTTCTGCTGTCAGGGTCCTCATTTTCATATCTTAGAATGTTCATATTAACCCTCTCTACATGATGCTGGTGTTTTCATTTCACTATTTTGTTTGTAAAACAATTCCTACTCCTTATACAGACCTCGGCTCCAAATTCTCCCCATCACTGCTATGGGTAACGTCACACTATCTTAGTCCACTTGGTTAGTCATGGTTTGGAGTTTAATTCCCAGCTCTGGCAACTTGCTGAATATCTCTCCCGATCTTCATCTCCTTGTCACGCTGCTGGTAAATACTGCAGAGTTGTGACCAAACTTTTTTGTACTGAGGTGGGCCAGTGACTACTATCCTCATTCATCAGCCGGTTTCACTTCATGGAAACCGTCTGACCTCACAGCATCAGGATTCGTTCGCTTGACGGTAGGCGGGTGCTTTTTTAAATTTAACCAATCGCCCGTAAAGGGGCTAACTGGTATATTAAGCTTTTCCCAAATCCCGTAGGAAGAAGGGCAATAACGTCTTTCCCCTTCATAAAATTCACCAAACATTCTCTTTATTCCAGCTTTAAATCCTCGATCTCAGGAACTGTTGACATACTGAATATATGGTTCCTCACTGATTGGCTGGTGCCTGAACTCGCACTTCCAAGGTTTTTGCAAACCGTCTCATGTATTTTGATTTCTGACCTAGTTGCTGGAGAGAAATGAAATTGAGCAGAAGCAGTAGGTGACTCCAGCCTGGCTAAGGGACTACAGGCTGAAAACAACAATAAAAAAACTCACTTACCTCTCAACAATAAGATCGATTCTCTAGGTTAGGTGGACCTTGTTTGTATGATTCCTCAAAGGGGCCCAGAATTGGAAGCTCTGCCTTTTCACTTACAGGTATATTACAGGGGGGCCCATGTAAGCCCTTTTGCCCCTGGTCCCCCAAATTTCTGTCAACTGGCCTCTCAGCCATCCAGGTGTGAGCCACTGCTAACAATTTTTAAATTAAGCCATAATTTATAATGCAACATCTTTTGCACTTTGTTTTGGAGAGCTGCAACATAATTACTGTAAAACTTTTCTCCCATGTCTGTGTAAGTTTTACCATTGAAACTTACACTTTATTAATCCTCCAGCTAAATGTTCAAACCAAAACACCTCAAAATCTGGAGATGATTTCTAAGGGCTGCACTGCAGTCACACACTGCTCTTGTCAAACTGTGCAAAGGCAATGAAGAACAGCTCAAATGCCAAATCCAAATTTTAAAATTTTATTTTTATATCAATTTTTTCTTCTTTTTTTTTTTTGCCATTTATCAAACCCCTCCCAGCTCTATAATATGTACTATGTTTCCATGGCAATACTGTATAAGGACATATGGCTGTCTGACCTGTGTGTTTACACTGGTGTGGGATCAGATTAGAGCAGTTATCTCTGCCCAGTGTGGCCTTAATGTTATTAACTCCATGACTCGTGCGTGCGGTAAACAGCTCCAGACTTGACAATGTTCCCCTTCTCTCACAGCGACCGGCATCGACTCTGGATCAATATGAGAAAGGTCAAAGCCACTCAGCGCTTTTGTAAGGTTAGCATTTGCACACAAAATTTGACTGTTAAATTTGCTTCAAGGATATTAGGGCTACTCATTTGAATTGACTTATTTTGGTTTACGTGCATTGATTGTAAGAGGCTGCACTGGCACTGATTTATGATTTCCTGCTGGTGCTGGGGTTTAGGTAGAGATCATTCAGATCAGAGAGAAACAGTTTAGGTTTGAACCAACTGGATTTCAGCAATCACTATTTAATCTTTGCACTGTTTTTCCTTTTGTAGACCTCTTTTTATATAGTCCCAAAACAATACTATATTTTTATATTTCTGTCCTGTCTTATTTGACACAATTCTCTTGTTTTTACCTGGTCCCTGAAGGGCTGACCAGGTTTTGTATTCACCCTGTATGTCTGTGTGTGTGTCTGTCCACCCACGATAATTCCGCCATTTATGGACCAATTGTCACCAAATTTGGTACGTGGGTCAAGCCACTCTGCCCAATGCCGCAAAAAAAAGTTTGGTGACAATCCGAGGTCATTTGAGGTCACACCATTATAAAGGAAAGGCAATTTCAGCAATTTCTGGACCATCTCCGGGCTAAAATATTCACCCAATCATCACACAAGTTGGCACACACATAACTGGGGTACACTGGATGTTACAGGTTGAAACTGGTCAAGATCACTTGAAGATCAAGGTAACAAAGGTTAAATATGCATTTTTGGTCATAACTCCGCGAAGGATTGAGCTAGAGCAACGGGAGTGGTCTCAAAATCTCAGAAAAAATAAACACAGACATTCTCATGTGTGACCAATATCACACAAATGTTCATGGGCACTGTACAGATACACACATTGTATTGTGGATATAACGATCATGTAATATGGGCTGGGCTCCTCATAAACTGCTTCTGTGGTGATGAACTGCCCCCACCGATGACTCATGGGGGACCAGGTTGCTATCTCTGATTGCACTTGTTTTGAATTTATTATTACCATATGTTTTTAGCTATTTAATATAATATATTGTGATGTGTGAGCTGTGTCCAAATAATTTCTTTTGTGGAATCAATCAAGTTTGTCTAAGTTTAACCCAAATGAGACTTGTGAGGCTCATTCTGTTTTCTGATTGGATAGTTGTATTCATCATATCAGTAAAGGTTTATTTGACTTAAACATGTTTACCTCATGTCTAGGGAGAAAGACAGGTCACAATTGAATCATGTAACATATGGTTCCATTAAAGGTACACTGAGTAACTTTTCAGGTCGGGCATCTACCACTATGAAGATGCTATTACGTTGCCTGTAATGTTCCATAATATGTAACATTACAGGCAAAGTAATTAAACTTATTTAACTTAAATAAGATGGATTTATTCAATTATGGGTGCTTTAATTGCTCAAAAATACCTTTAAACGTGCATTCTGACTGCAAGTGGGGTTTCCTCTTCACAGATCTCACCTGGGATCTCCTGCTTGTCTGTATGGAGAAAAATAACTTATGCCCTACTTTGGAACATTACAGGCAAGACAAAAACAGCTGCATAGAAACAAGCAACTGACGGGTCCTCTACCAGAAAACTTACAAGGTGCACTTTTAAGTTTATCTCCAAGTCACAGGTCAGATTTGTAGAGAAGTTATTCCACTCATGTTTTCAAGGTATGTTTTTCTATCAGTATAAAAATTTGATCTTCAAGGACTCTGGCAAGCGACATGACCTCTACCAGAAAAGTTCCACAGTACACCTTTAAATATAGTATTATAGTAACTTAAGGCTAATATAAAAGTAACGCTAACTCTAACCACTCAAAACAATAAAGCAGAATTAATGAATCAGGCTCCTTTAACAGATGTTGTCCTAATCAAACTCAAATCAAAGATGGCTCTCACTGAGTGTGTGTGAGTGCCAGGATGTTTATTATTGTTGATTATTTCTCAACAGAGGAAAATAAAACTGTCAGCCTGCATAAATCACTAATAATTGTTATTAATGGGACCACTTTTGTTCCAATCACGACATTAATCGCGAAGCCTGTTTGGGGAAAATGTCACCACTCACGTTGTGGAGTTGATGGCTTATGTGACTGGGTTCTGCCCATTTCATCATCTACGGAAATGAGTTGCAGAGAGCGATTCTGAATGAGGAAAATGTATTGCGAGAATTAAACCTCTAATGAAGTAATAAGGAAGAAAACCTTTTCAAAATCAGCTGTTAAAAAAATTGATAATCAGTCATTACTGTGGAAACCAACAGGGCCCATATTACTTCTTAAAATTTTCTGGTTTATGTTAAAATGTTTCTTCCTCAAACACATACTGTACCTGGTGTTGTGTTGTTTCATTCACACGTTTAACACACAAACCCTGCATATGTGGGCTGAGTTTTCATCTCAAACGGAAAATACTCCGTTACACTTTGTGATGTCATGTGGAAATACAGGAAGTGCTCCACTGTTTTTAAACTCCATACGCCTTCAAACACTTGAATGGTTTCAGTTCTGGAATTGCCAATCTCTACTGCACTAAAGCTAAAATGTATCTGCTAACTTGAAAACTACCACTAAATAACATCTCAAGGTGGAAGAGTATTATGAGCTTTGGAAGATGTAGACAGACTAATAACACAGGATTTCTGAAATATGTGTGTGTGAACAAAAAACAACTCCGGGTATGGGTTTGATGAGGTAACAACATGATCGTATCCAAGCTGCTGTATACGACATGCTTCAAATGTATTAGAATTATTTGTTGGCAATGGCATAAAATCAATTGAGTCAGTTGGACATGATATGAAGTTTATTCCACTGGTGCTACTGTACAAGAATGATCTTTTATTGATTACAGGCTATAGTGCTGTACATATTTGGAGCGCAGACGTAACAATTTTAAATAAAAACTTACTTTAAAAAAAAGTTGTGAAATGGTGAATTATTTGTAGCGTAATTACAGAAAAGGTCAAATACAAGCAGAACCGAAGTGCTGTAATTTGTTAATTTAATTTCTGTTTGGTAGAAAAATGGTGTTGACAACAGTTTGTAGATTTTATAATAAGAGGTAGTTAAAACTGCATTTGACCATTTATTTCTTATAAAATTGTGTGAAGAACTTTTTCAAATATAGGGCAAAAGTTATTGTTTTTGTTCCTAATTTTGAATAAAAATGAACAAACCAAAACAAATGACAACACCAGTAGTTTCATATCAACATATTAAATTTACAGCCTGCATCCTTATCACATATACCAGGAATGACACAAAATTCTATTATGAAAAACTGGGTAAAATAAGCTTCACAAATAATGAGAAAGGGACAACTCATTTTAACAAGTATATTAAAACTCCTCTCCAGTGGTTGGAGAATGCCTGGCGTCTTCTCACATCCTCCCCACAGCCCGAGCAGGACCTTGAGTGATTGCGTAGCTCTTCTTCACTCCTTCCTGCGCTTCTTGTCGTGATAGTCGTCTTTGGAGCGCCCGCTGGTGGAGGGTCTTTTGGAGCCTCCGTGCTGCTTGGCCTCCTCCAAGAACTTGTCCAGACCAAAGGGATCCTCCTCGAACTGGACTGGCCCCTCTGGTCTGCTCTGGTGGTCCGCTCCAGTGAAGCCTCTGTCCGGAACAAACCTGAGGAGGCAACGGGACTGGGTTAATATGCAATATTACTGAAAGCCAAGACTTCCATGATATAATACATAACACACTTGTATAGCACTTTTCAAGACTCTCAAATCAGCAACACAGCAACATTTTAAACATTTTAAGAGTGCTGCAAGATTAATTCAATCAAATCAAAATTACAATTTACATGCACAGAATTTGCAAATTGCAAAGGCTGCAATGTTTGAAGTGCCATATTTCCTCCACAAACAACATTTATTCGGCATTAAAAGTTCTGTACAAATTGGTACATAATTGTCTATTCTGTTACTGGGAAACACTGAATAGAATCCCATTAAAAAAATAAATTGCTTGTCAGAAAAATAGCAGTTGTATATTTTTCCCCAAATCATTCTGGCAAACATTTTAGAATTAAAATCAAACCAATGAATTTCTGTTTGTCTCTGTATGGATATTTTGACGTTATTCATTTGAAAGTACACCCAAAATATATATATTATATATTTCTAAATAAGAATTTATTCAACAGGAAACTAGTTAGATAAAAGTAGAGTTTCACTACTTCCACTACTACGGTTACAAATCCAGGCTTTAGTAACTTTAAACATGAAGGAGAGTTGACACATTGGGGTAAGAAAGTCCCCATTTGCTACTTCAGATCTACACTTTTCTGACACTAAATCCTTGTTTTAGACTTTGGTACAAGCTCCTGCCATCTGTACCGCCTGTATAACAGAGGTGGTAACCTGCAGCACAAAATGACAAGTGTGGTTTAAGCATATGGGCCAAATCTGCTCCACTGCTCCAGGACAAGAGCTCCTGCTGGGACCTCCTGTGTCCCAAAAAGCTGGAACGACCTCAAATCTTTCAGGCTATTTTGTTAAGTAGTTCAACAATTTAACAAGGTTCAAACAAGGAAATTATACTCATTAATAAATTGGTTAATTCTGTATCTGAATGATTTATGACCAGTATAAGAGTTTCTAAGAAGGCTTCCATATTTTGGGAGAAAATCTTGCTCTGAATAATTTGCGTGGGTCCACTTGTTCTCAAAATTTCTCTGAACTGAAGGCTACTAGAGATGCACCAATACCGATAACAAATATTGGTGCACATCCAGCTAAATTTGCATAGGGTAACAATTAAATGATATCGGTTCATGGTTGGACTCTTTACTGACTGATGCAGGCCCGGGATGTCTCATGATGTTTGAACTTGAATTAATACAAAGCTGTTCAGTGGTTACTTGTATAATAAATGACAGTTACACAATACAATCAGATACATTTTGTAATAAGTTAACTGGATTTTGAGAGAAAAATAATAATTTTCAATCCCTATACTGATAAAGTATTATCCGATATCAACAGACACTAAAAAGTTGTAAGTTTTTGGTTGGGGGTCCGTCACAGTGCTTGTCTCTATGGATGTCCTCGCTCTGCCTGGAATGTTCCACACTATGACATTAAACAGCTCTACCTTACATTTATTTAATTACAGGTGGTTTTATAGCTCAAAAAACACCTAGAAAAAACAAGACATTCTGACTGAGCGGGGTTGCCTGTCCACAGTTCTGACCTGTAACCTTGTTTGCGTGAAGATAGACAGGTTTAATGCCATACTGTGAAACATTCCAGACAAAGCAAAAACATCTCCATTTGATGGATCCTCCACCAGAAAAGTTACACAATGCACCTTTAAAGACACTGTACTGATATCAGTATTGGAACTGAAAAACCTGCATCACTGCATCCCTCAATACTACATTACGCATTAGCCTCTACAAATGTGATATACACACCCGCACACATGAATTTCAGTGGTTACACAGGACTGAAGTCGGTACCTGCTGCTACGCATGAGTGAGTCCAGGTCATCTGCGTATGCGTCCTTGTCGATGTTCTTGCTCGGTCTGTAGATGTTGGACGCCATGTTTTTGTTGCCTCTGAATGGCTGGTCGTAAACATTGTACGTCTCATCCTCTCCACCAGCAAAACCACTGTCCATGCCCTAGAATCGTATATGAAAAGAAATGTGTTACCAAAATAAGTCAGGGGCTAAAGAACTTGGTAGACAAATAGTTTAGTACTGAAATTACTGTAGTAGTTGCTGTGGTGGTTACTTTTGGGTATCATTTCTTGTGTTTACAGTTATACTGATGCTCAATGTGTATTTCTCAAACTTTGGTAAATTTGAGTCTACACTTTTGTCCTTTGGGTTAGTCCTTGTTTAGGTCTAGTATAGTGTAGTCCTATTTCAGACTTAGTTTAGATATGGTGGTACTCACAAGGTCAAATAAATTCTTAGGTGGTACTTGGTGCGGAAAGTTTGAGAACCACTGAAAAATGTATTTTTAAGACGCAAAATAAAAATAACTGAAATGACCGGTCTGACCTTGCTCTGGTTGAAAAGGCGCTGGTCGTACTGGACTTCACTGGAGGTGCGCGGATTGGGGACTCCCAGCGCGATGAGCTCACTGATGTCTCTGTCCTGATCTCTCTGCAGCTTTGACCTGATGAAACACAATTTGGATTAGCATTGACAAAACATATTATAGAATACAAACCACATTTTCTTTTTTTGTATTGCAAGAACTATTTTGACCAAGTTGTAATTTAACTTGCAGCTGCACTTCTTGCACTCCCAGATCAGAACACTGTTTAGCACTGCCTTGAACACACTGTTGAGAAAAGGACCTAATTCAATCTCTGTAGTACATTACGGCCCCATTTTGAAATTAAAGGCAACACCAAAAAAATTAAAAGACTGCAGCCAAGTAATTTCAGGAGAACTGCAGACTGAGGGCAGCAGTAGCTCAGTCAACTGTCACATGCATTTTAGCAGTTAAAACCAGCAGAAGTACTCTATTTAAAGTGTATGTTGAGCCACGCTAAGGTAAAAACAGTCTTTGAGCTTAAAAGGTGCACTATGCAACTTCTCTGGTCGAGGGTCCGCTATGTATTCGTCTCCATGGAGATATTTATAGTTATTGCTTTCCCAGAAATATTCCATAGGATGACATTGAACATATCCATCTAGCATTTATTCATTATGGGTGTTTCTATTGCTCAAAAATAGTTATTCCCTCTGTGAATAGGGGTGACTCTACACAGATCTGAAATGTAATGTAGTGTAATGCTGTAACCCGTTTGTCTCCCTCGCGATAGATAAAGCAACCCTCCACCAGAAATGTTGCGCAGTGCACCTTTAAATCAATTAAACCAGTCACATCATTAATACAGCACTGTCTTTGGCCTTCCTTAAGTATTCTGTTATTGTAATAAGCCTTATTTCTTGAACATCTTTTCCCCCTCCTCTCCAGGGACCTAAAACTTCTCACAACAAGAGTGTGTGCCAACAGCACCTGGCTCAGTGCAGACTCCTGCTGGCTTTGTTGGGCATTAGTGTGAATTATTCAGCGGGGAGTATTCAGGGGGTAAGAACAGAGCGTGTTCAGACACCTTTTATCGGGAGCTGCTCTGGAGATGTTCCTGTCGTGCTGCCTCTCCTTCCGTCTGTCGTAGCGGATCTCGTCACGCTCCCTGGCCTCGCCGTCATCGACACCTGCCACAGAAGAAGAAAAAAAGGGTTTGCATAAGTTAGAAGAGAGACAAGACTGGATTTAAAAAGAGGCCATATTATGTAAAGTCTATGTTTATGAGCTGTTTTTTATGTAATTATTTATCAGGTCAAGTTACTAAGTCCAAACAATGTACAGAAAAAGGTTTTTTAAAAAAAAAAAGGTATATACCACCAAGTGGTGGAAGAAGTCTTGTCACTTAAGTAAAAATACAGATACTCAAGTATCACATGAAAAATTCACCTAATTAAGTACCTGTTTAAAAAAATTCTTCAGTGCTTTCACCCAAGCACAGTACTTCACTACTACCACTTTGTTACGTTCCACTATTGACCACATCAGAACAAGGTACAAAATTAATTACTAAGTACAAGAAAAAACATGTTCTTTAACAAAGTTTCATCTGAAGAGAACTGTATGCTTGACATTGAAGAGAACACAAAATTGCACAAAACAGACGTTTGAGAATATTTTTAGTTCTAACACTGCGTTCTGAGCTCTGCCAGTAACACCTCGCACCTGTTAAAAGAAAAAGGTGAAGGGCTGTTTAAACTGACCAATCAGTCATGCTCCTCTCTCATCTAGGCTTTCAAAGTAAAATGGACTTGTTACAAGTTTGTTTGTTTTTGAAGGTTTCACGTTTTACAATGTTGTAATCATTGATGTAACATTTTTGGATACAAATAGATCCAAAACAGTTTAAGCATTGAATTCAGTACCCATCTTAGAATTTCTTGAAACACACCAAATAAAGGTTGATGAAGGGGTACGACTTCTGGTGTCAAAAATGCAGATACACATTTTGAATATATAGTAAAAAACTGTTGAAATATTGTGCAATCTTTTTCCATTCATTTTTTTTAATTTTTCATAAATGTACTTTTGTCTTCTAGGAAACACTACATTGATTTGACAGTAGAGACGTGTAGATAATGTTGAATATGATATGGCCTGTCTAAGTTTAAGTGGAGGTATTCAGTTGTGTAAAATGTGTCTGGTTCAAACTGAATAAGCCTTACCTCCTTTGTCTCCATGGGTCTTAATGCCGGCTCTGCGATCTCGGGCCATCTGAGCCAGCTCCCTGAGTTTCTCCTCCTTCTTCTCCTTCTCTTTCTGTGCCATCTTCTTCTCCACCTGCGCTCTCATCTCCACAGCTTCTCTGGCCTATAAGCACACAACAAAAACTTAATACAAAAAGGAACACAATTTCGTATGTGCTTGTAGTTCATAAAATGCATTGTAGTACCTTTCTATCAGCAATGTAGAGAGCCTCAGCCAGTTTAGCAAAGTTTTCATTAATGTGTACAGTTTGAAGCCCTCTGCCGTCAGCTGCTAGACGCTTGTCCAGTGGAATTGTGTAACCCTATGAATGAGAAAGGTAATTAGTAAGATGTTTTTTTTTTTTGTTTGTTTTTGTAAATATGAAATAGATCACTGAATTCATGCAAATACTGTTATTCAATTTCATACCTTTGCGTTCTTCCAGTTTGAAATACATGGAGGAATCTTCCACTCTTGCTGTTCCTTTACTGTCATCTAGAAGACAATTATTGAAAATTACAGTATAATAATAAATTGAGAAAATTATGGCAGCAGCAAAAATCTATAATACCTTTCTGCTTGGAGAGTGCATAACAGGAGCAGGAGGTGAAGGAGGTCCTCTGGGAATCTTTTTGTTAATCCTAAACCACAAAAAGAAAGATACACCGAGATTAGTCAAATTATGAATGATGAACAGTGCCATGTAAACATTATAATAAGAAATACACGTCATAAAAGCATAACAAAACAAGTTACATACTTGAATCGTGGAGGTTCCATTGGGTCTTTCTGCATCTCCACCATTCGAATCACTCTTTGTTTGGCCCCTGAATTAAAGGCCACACCTTGTTGAGATGGGGTGTATCTACAGACGGAAAAAAAATAAAAAAATCATTAATTGAAGCTTTTTGCCATCATGAGAGTCTGACCAGTACAATGACCAAGATAACTTATTGTGTTTACAGCAGTCATTCTGATTTATGAGATTATTGTTGCGGGCAGAGTATAAGAACACAACATCATAACCCTAATATTATTCTTTTCCTATAATGCTTTGTTTAAAAAAAAAAAAACAACAACTGAGAAACAGACAAACTGATAATGATAAGGTACCTGATGTATTGTGCGGGGGCTAGTTTGTCTGCTGCTCTCACTGGCATGGCGGCAGCAATCTTTTGGGACACAGCTTTGCTCAGGGCATCACGGGTCTTCTCTGTCAACTACAAAATAAATGTATAGCAAATTAAGTATAACTTTAGATGAAGCAATAACCAAAGACCAAACCCTGATTGATTAATGTAGGTCTTGCCTCTTGTATGGCCTCCTCATCTGGTTTCTGTAGTTCTGAAGCCTCCTCATTCAGCACTTCTTTGGGGAGCAGGTCTGTGTATTTACTGAACACCACTTTGTCTTTGCTCTGTCCTTGTCTCGCAATAGCATCGTACTTGATCTTCCCCTCCGCGTCCACTTGAACCGCAAGGGCATTCGACGTCTTTTTCTTGCGACCCATCTCCAGGGGAAACTGGGCCACATGGATCTCAGGGAAAGCACCTCCATCTCCAAAATCCTAAAGACACAAGAGAATTTAACCATAAGTAATGTGTTCTTTTACAGCTATTTATTTATCTTACATCAAATGCTTACACTCTAGGCTCGTAGTCTTTAGTGTGTGTTAATCGGTGTGCAAATTATCATTCTTTGAATTTATCTTTACTTATGCCAAAAAAGTATGCATTTTGATTGCAAATGACAAACTGTTCTTGCTAATCAAAGGACCATTGTCAAACTCCATTTGGACTGATAAATATATCCAGTGACAAAAGTTCAAGTGGTATTTTCACTTCGATATTGGAGGAAAAAATAAATAAAAATCCTCAATATATACAAGCTACTCTGAGACAAGAGATCACCACACTCTACCGTTAAACACTGGTCACTTTCAGAGTTACTTTCGACAGTTTCACCTTGTGCTTTATTATAGTTACCTCAAGTGCACGGGGGACCCAGCCTTTCCGGTGCCTGTACGGGGGTGGCTCTCTCCGGGATGAGACCAGGGCAGTGGAGTAGGCCTTCTGAGTCCGCTGTCTCTCCTCGGCCTCCAGCTGGTCCTGGGACAGCTGCGTGGGAGCCGGTAAAAAGCTAAACAAACGAAATGGCAACGATCAGTTATTAGCATCATGGTTTAGCATTTTACAAAAAACATGATTCCCATTTACATTTTCATTTTGACTATGGTATTCTTCTAGAGTAATGACTATTCAACACTGATTACTGAAGTTGGAACCGTTAAACTACAATAACAACATCTAACATTTAAACTGTAATAACGGTAGAGCAGAGATCCTGAACCACGGGGCCGGGGCCCAAAGTAGGACCGCGACCACCTCCTTCAGGGCCACCAAACCAGTCAAATATAATTATTTTAATATGATATCGGGCCCGGGTTACTTTCCACTTAAAAAGCCGGAACCCCAGATCGAGAAGTGTCAGAACCGCAGCCGTGAAAGTTTGCGCCGATCACGACATTGTGGTGCGAAGCTAACTTGCTAATGCTAATGCTAATCCTTTAGCTTTGGAGCCGCATAACACGGTATCTAAGCAATCTAAAAGTTCAGTATAATACAATACAACCAATCCCACAATAGAATCACTATTTAAGATAAAGCCTGAACAAATTATGATTTCTAAGACGAATAAAGGCCTCGTTTTAGAGCTTACCCCGCCAGAGACATCTTTGCCGTTTGCCGTAGCAGCTGGACTGAGCATGCGCAGTAGTGCGTATTTGTCCACGCATTCAGAGCAGAGTATCGCGTTATTCCAGCTTCTGGGGGCCCGGGTTTGGCTCGTACATGGGTTTCAGGCATGGATCTGACAGGCATGTAGGTAGGCAGCATCACTGAATATTTCCAGAGGTTTCAGCATTTAGTTATATTTATAATACAACAACAATATGCACACAAATTCCAAAATGTTACCACATCTGTTCAAATCCAGTCCCTTTCCCCTTGTCTATTGTGTGTTTTGTTCTCTTTTCATCTCTTTATTTGTGTTCTCTCTCACCCTCCACTCCCCCATCCACTCTCCCCCCTTTTTAACCCCCTTCCATCCTTCCCTTCCTCTCTCATTCCTTCTCTTTCTGTCGCTCACCTCTTCTTTTTCTGTCTCCCTCCACTCATACCCTCCCCAGTCTTTATCCCTCTTCTCTGTATCTCTCTTTTTCTCTCTTCCCCACTCCTCACTCTCCTCCCTTTCTAACCCCATCACTCTTCCTCTCTCCTGCTCTCTTCTCCCTCTTCTCCCTATGTCTCTTTACCTCTCTCCTCCAAGTCCCGATATGTAATTTACATATTTATTATTTTCTTTCTTCCCTTTTCATGTGTAAACAAAATAATTAATTAAGGTTCAATGTTTTATTAGTAAACATGATCCTCATGTGTTTGTAAAGAAAATGCTTAGTGCTCATTTTTGAGCCTACTGTACGTTGCCACACAAGCTGTTAAACTCTCTCTCTCCTGTTCTCTCTCTCTTTCTCTATCTTTCTGTTTCACTCTGCCATTTTCTCTGTCTCTTTTCTTGAGTTCCTGCCTTACCTCTCTCTCTCTCACTCTCTTTCTCCTGGTTTCTCTCTCTCCCTCTTTCTGTCTTTCTCTCTGTCTTTCCCCTTGATTCCTTACCTTCCTTCTCTCTCTCTCCTGGTTTTTCTCTTGCTCTCTTTCTCTCTCTCTCTCTCTTTCTCTCTCTGTTCTTCTCTCTATCTCTCTCCTTGATTCCCTACCTTCCTTCCTTCTCTCTCTGTCACCTGCTCTCTCTCTCTCTCTCTCCTGGTTTTTCTCTTTGTCTCTCTCTGTCATCTCTTAGATTTGCTACCTTCCTTCTTTTTTTTTTATTTCTCTCTCGTTCCCCCTCCCTCCTGTCCTCCCTCTCTATTGCCCTTCCTCTCTCCCCCTCTCTCTCTTTCCCTGTCCTCTCTATCTCTTCCTCTCTTCCTCACCTACCCTCGTCCTTTTCTCTCTTTCTCTGTCTCTCCCCTCTGTCCTTCTCTGTTTCTCTCCTTGATTCCCTACCTTCCTTCTCTGCCTCTGTCTTTCTCTCTGCCTCTCTCCTCCCTTCCCTCTCTCTCTCCTTCCTTCCTTTTGTCTCTCTCTTCCTCTTTACCTTCCTCCCTCTCTCCCTCTCTCTCCTCTGGTTGCATGTTTCTGTAGCAGGAGGCGTTCTGTCACCAGCTCAGAGCAGACTCCATCATTAATGTGACAGTGGGTAAAAGGACACGTCAGCTCCCATTCATCACACAGAGCTGGCCCGGGACACAGGCCTCTAATAAACCAATCATTGGGCTCTTTTTCACATGCTGTTCGCTCTTTACCTTTGAGTGAAATGTCATGACCCCCAACAGACCTGCTGTATGATGACAAGTGGTACAGGTATTGTATAGTCCTGTTCAGAGAAAGTTTGTGCTATATATTCAATTATTTCAAAAGCAAATTTTGATTATTTTAAAATATTTTTTAGTTCAGCTCACATTTTCATAATGAGTCTATTAAGTAATTTGTTTGGTCTGAAGTACTAAAAACTTTCTCAGTGCAATAATGGGTTGTACTTGTTTTACAAACTCTAAAAGCCTTTCAAAGCACTAAAATGCAGTCATTACTCATTCACTCCACATTTGTTGGTGATAAACTACTTTTGTAAATAGTCATGGTCACATTTTTATATAGTGATTTTCCACCTTCAAGTCTGACTCCATTCACACACACATTCATACATCAGTGTACGCAAACACTGGGGGTGAGGTAGGTTAAGTGTCTTGCCCAAGGACACAACAACAGCATTCATCTGTGGGAGGTGGAATAATACCAACCAACCTACTGGTCAGTGGATTTGACCACTCAACCACTGATCCAATCCAATCCAATCCAACTTTATTTATATAGCACATTTTATAAACAAGACAGTTTCCAAAGTTCTTCACATAGCAATGTAAAACATTTTACTAAAAAAAATAAATACAATTAAATTTAAAAAAATCTGCAGAATTATGTTTCAACCATGAGGAAACTAATACAATCAATATATAAAAGCAGTACTAAAAAAATTAATTAGATAAAAACAATAAATAAATTAATAAATAAAAGACACAGAGGACCAACAACTCACGCGGTATTAAAAGCCAGAAAATAAAAGTGGGTTTTAAGAGGAGACTTAAAACACTCCACTGTGGGGCTGTTCGTATGCGAATTGTTCCAGAGTTTGGGGCTGACCACAGAGAAGGCTCTGTCCCCCCTGGTTTTAAGACTCGTTTTAGGCACCACGAGCTGGAGCTGGCCCTCGGGCCTCAGTGCAGTTGTGGGGGTGTAAATCTGGATGAGGTTCAAGATGTATTGTGGGGCGTTCCCTTCAAAGCTTTAAAAACAAATAATAAAATCTTAAAATCCTTTCTAAAATGAACAGGAAGTCCAGTACAAGGACGCAAGAATTGGGGGTAATGTGATCACGCTTTTTGCTCCCTGTTAAAAGACACGCAGCAGAGTTCTGAATAAACTGCAAGCAATAAAGTGCTTGATTGATGATTATGATGAGAGCGATTTTTGAACCAGATCAGTGGACAAACGCTCTACCAACTGAGCTACTGCCTCCCTGTGTTTGTGTAGCCACAGGTGCCCAACTGACCGAAGCAAGTCTACCAATCTGCGCCATCTGCCTCTTCAGCCACCACCAACCACACGCACCGCATTCATGCAAAGTGAAGGTCTTGCCCCAAGGACGCAACAAAGTGCACTGGTCAGATCGGGTTTGAGGCATCATGCGAAATGTCCTGGCCACATCTATAGCCCGTACATCCATGTGAGTATATCTCTCTCTTTCACTGTATTCTCCTCGTGGTTTCTGTTTTCACCACTTTTTTCCTTTACCTTGGAGGAGCGTCTGAGAGGACAGGTGGTGCTCTGGGGCAGTTTTCTTCTTTCCTGCAAATGTTACTTAATCTGCTTGTCTTTTATTGACCAGTGACTGTTTCATAGTTGAATTTTATGTGGGTTAAATAAATCTGGGGAAGCCCTGTGAGGAAACGGCTGCTGTGATTTTAGGCTATAGAAGAAATCATTGAATGTAGTACTCTAAAACCTTAAAATCAGGCAAGAAATCTAGGGGTAATAATGGACTCAGACTTGAACTTTAACAGTCACATAAAATCAATAACATCTGCAGCCTTTTACCATCTAAAAAACATAGCAAAAATCAAAGGTTTACTGTCTAAATCAGACTTGGAGAAACTTATCCATGCATTTGTCTCCAGTAGGTTAGATACTGTAATGGTCTGCTCACTGGTCTCTCAAAACGAGCTGTGAGACAGCTGCAGAACATCCAGAACGCTGCAGCTCGGGTCCTTACTCGAACTAGGAAGTATGAGCACATAAGTCCTGTGCTCAGGTCTCTGCACTGGCTTCCTGTGCCTCAGAGACTTTAAAGCAGCTCTGCTTGTGTACAAGTGTCTCCATGGCCGAGCACCAAAGTACATCTGTGACATGTTAGTGTCATATGAACCATCTCGCACTCTGAGGACCTCAGGGACCGGCCTCCTGCTGGTGCCCAGAGTCAGAACTAAACAAGGGGAGTCAGCGTTTCAGGTTCATGCAGCTAAAACCTGGAACAGTCTGAACATGTGAGACAGACTCTTCTGTGACGCTGTTTAAATCCAGACTCAAAACATTTCTGTTTAACTGTGCATATAACTGAAAGGTTTTCATTCCGCACTCTTCTCTCCAATTTATGTCTCTCTTTTTTAATTTTAATCTTCATGATTGTTTATGTTTTGATTTGTTTTTATTATGATTTTAATGTATTTCTTATTCTGTAAAGCACTTTGAATTACTTTGTGTATGAATTGTGCTATACAAATAAACTTGCCTTGCCTTGCCTACTATAGGAAGATGGGAGTAAGACAAAGAACAGCTTGTGCATGGCAAGTTAGAAACAAAAAAAAAAAAGACTATATGATCCATAGATTTTAGACTAAAAATGCAATATAAAAATGCACCAAATAAAGATTCACTCATTACAGTATATTTTTTTATTTATACTATCTTTATTACTTATTGTACATTTCTTTTTACTTTCTCTTCATACTACATAAGCTCATGGTGTGCAGGGAGCCATAGCCTCATGTTCTATAATGTTAAGGTCATACTATAATGGAAAACTCCTATTACCTCAGGCATCACAGCACTTTGATTCAAGTTGACATGAAGGTGGCAGCACTGGCAGCTAATTCAGAGCTCCTGGCCATAAGAAATCTGGAAAAGCGCTGTCTTTGATTACAAACCGAAGGAATCCAATGTTAACAGAGCCATTCTACAACTGTAAAACTGCAAATGCACGGACCTACCCAAAGAGGAAAGAATAAATAAGAAAGAGAACGCACTAGGTCTGTATTGATTTGCTTTCAGAGCCAGGAAAGCTTGTTAGAGGAAGCTGCAGCCTTTAGATTTTTATCATGCAGAGGTCCACTTCTTTAATGCATTGGCCAGAGGATGGGATAGCTCTGTTTACTCTATGTTATAAAACCTATATCGATTCCATTATGGGTCCTACCTGCAGATCGGACACTGCAGCATCAAGCAAACCAGCCTATGAGTATGTTTTAATGGCTGTAAGAGGATCGTGATTCAAAGCAAAAAGAAGAAACAGATTTTGTTTAGAGCAAATGTCATGTATCTTGTAAAATGATCCATGGTATGACTCGGTAATAGATTGAATTTTTATCTCAAATCAAGACCCAATCATGTGAAATTATCAATGATATGTTTTGGGCTTTTTA